CCGAACCATCTGCCTCCATCGCTACCGGATCGGATGATCCAGTCCGAACCGGGAGCATTTCACCTCTGCCCGTGACCTACAACATCAAGATAAAAATACTCACAAAACAAATATTTGTAATAAAGTCGCCCTCATTCGTGATTTGGTCCCCCAGCCTTGTTGATTTCAGGATAGCTCAGATGTTCATGGTCTCCATGGCAACCACGGATCTATCACAAGTCATCAGTAGCCCACTACCTGTCAAAAGCCACACAGTTGATCTGGTGTATGTCTGAGGCAGTTGCAATATGATCAGGTAATGGGCGATATGAATACCAGTCATGCCGCGAGAGATCAGTCTCTGATTGCTTTTGAACTCACTGGTATCCCTCTTCCCCCTGCAGGGAGTTAAGGCTATTTGATCAACCCACTCCAAATGAATAATGGATCCTATGGATTTCCAGAGGAAGCTTGGTGGGTGGCTTAGCTGAGGCCTTAGGCACTGCCTGGAACGGGTGAATGGTTGGGGCCTTGGGGCATATGATCCCTTCGCTTTGAGGAATATTCCAAGTATCTTGGAGTTGGACTCTAACTGGGCAAGTCTGGTTCCTGGAGCTCAGTCTTGTGGCACAATCTGGGATGAGCCAGTGACTCTTGAAGAAATAGTGTTTATGAACTACCAATTTGGTCACATGCTTGTTAGATCTTGGTCTCTCCTGGGTTATAAACATGCCCTGGATTGTGGGACCTGAGGCTGTGATGTTGCCCTCTTTGAAGATTGTTGAGAAGGTGATCAGACTTCAGCTGCAGAGAACCCTGGCAGTATGTGAGCTGCATCTTACTTCAATGCATAGAATGGCTAGACTACTAGACTACTGTAGGATGTAAATTGGGTGCAGAGGGGGGTAGGCTATGCAGATGCAGGTTACAATTGACAATTGTGATGTGCTAAAGACCCAGTGTATTGATTGGGACCTTCTGAGCTTATGCCTTTTAATAAAACACGTTAATCAGAAAAGGCGCTACCAGACTCCTGATTTTTTTGCTACCAAGGCTAACCTGGCTACCCTCCTCCTGTGTTTTCCAAGAGTAGCTAAAGGTCCATTGAGGGCATGGTGGGGGAGAGAAAACCAAGAGTGTAGTGTAGTCTCTCTCTCTGCTACTTCTTGCTTTCTATCCCATTGATATAGGTCTATGCCCATGCAGGAGCAGAACTGGAAGGCAAGATCTACATCACTTGCGGGAGGCGAGGAGAAGAGTACCTAAAAGAGCTGCAGTGCTACGATCCGACCACCAATCGCTGGGACATCTTAAGCGACAGTCCCATCAGGAGAGCCTGGCACGGGATGGCTGCGCTGTTGGGAAGGCTCTATGTGATTGGAGGCAGTAACAATGACTCCGGCTACAGAAGAGATGTTCACGAGGTGAGGCAGCCTTTGACTTGACTAATGGCATTTTTATTGCACACTGCTGATATTTAGACAAAAAAATCTAACAACCAAATAGAAACATCAAGCACTCCCAAAATACAAAACACTTGCATACATTACTTGAAACTACTGTGTTTCCCCGAAAATAAGACCCTGTCTTATATTTTTTTGAACCCTGAAATAAGTGCTTGGCCTTATTGCCATGTGCTCAAAAGCCCGATTGGGCTTATTATCAGGGGATGTCTTATTTTGGAGAAAACAGGGCATTAACCAAATATAATGCCAATAAATTTTCATCAAGTCCCCATGGCACCCAGTCATTCCCCAAATGCCCTTTAAGAAATTCTGGAAGATCAGCCTTGTTTCCACAGGGAACCTTCCTAGGTAAAGATGCCATGCCTGAAGAACACATGCTCTGGCTTCAGGTATAAAAGACACAAAAATGAAGCTAGCAGAGAACTCCTTGCTAGGTTCAGCTTCAAACCTGTTTTTTCCCATCCAGACTTGAGGACAGGACAGCACCTACAACTAAATGGGTGAGGGGGAGTGAACTCCATGGATTTTCCTTCCGTGCCAAATTTGCAATTGAAATAGGAATGGAGACATTGTAGGCCCATGACCCCAAATCCCAGCCCTATTAGGCAATTGGGAGCCATATTAAGCAAGTAAGGAGAAACTTAATAGTGATAGTGAGAACAATTAACCAGTGGAACAGCTGGCCTTTAGAAGTTGTGAGTACTTTATCACTGAAGGTTTTTAAGAAGAGACTGGACAGCCACTTGTCTGAAATGGTGTAGGGCCTCCTGCTTGGGCAGAAGGTTGGACTAGAAGACCTCCAAAGTCCCTTCCAGCTCTATTCTGATTGATGGTTAATGTTATTAAAAGCAGCTGAGAGATCAGGTGGGCACAAGGGATGTGCATTTGTCCCTAGGAGTCCTCCAGATCCATCAGGTGCCTGGGGTGGCCTGGTCAGGACTTTAATAAATGTTTCTAAAGGTTTATTAAAATTTGCCCATAAATACTTACCATATGACCCCAATCAGCCAGTTGAGCCCTAACGAGAAAAATTCATTCCAGAAGCGAGACTCGGGAAGAAGCTTGGAAAAACAGGTCCGTCTTATAGCCCCCACTCCCCACTCTTTGGAATCCTCACCTCTGTTCTGGGATAATTAGCAAGGGGAAATCAATGTTTGTATTCACAATCATTGGAAAGGAAGAAATTACAAGAGAATAAGCAAACACACAATGGAGAACAAGGCATTAAAAGGAATGCCTTAGCCCCAGTTTAGGAGCCAAAAGAAAGCCTTTGAGAGAAACTGATTAGGGTTGTGCCAATTTCAAAGAGCAGGGCAAGTTGACTGAAGGCCAAGATGAACTTGTTAACCTGTGATGAGCACTTTTTAGGGCAGCACTTAGAGCTGCTTAAGATAATTTAAGCCAATGTTTCTCAACTTTGGTCCCTTGAAGATAGGTAGAATTCAATTCCCAGAATTCCCCAGCCAGTCTTCAAGCAGTCAAGTTTGAGAAACAGTCTCTCCCCTCTACAAGGGAGGAAAATCTATGAAGGGAGAAAAGGATGGGGACCCCCCCACACACACACACACAAATTGGGAGTTAGGCAGTCAGGCACAAGACACTCTCCCCCCCCCCTCAACTGCTCCAGAGCAAACATGATCATCTGCGTCTGTTGGGTCAAACATTTGGGACTAGCCTACAGTCACCACACAGGCCAAGCCCAGTGTATGGAAATTGGTTATCTGGTGCCAAAACCTCCAGTGCCAGTCCAAAGACCAGAGTGGTGCCCAATGAAAGCTGTGTTTACACTTTTCTGTAGTCCACAGTAAAGCAAGTTGCTGGCTTTCAGAACTGGTATGGCAACTTTGTGGGGTGTTTCCAGTAACCCTGACCCCAAGAGTGCTTATTCTCAAGCTCAGAGAGCCGTTCCCAAATGCTCTTCCTAAAATGACCACTCTTAATGTTGTTTTCTACCAGGTTGCTTGTTATACCCCAAGCAGTTCTCAATGGACAACTGTCCGTCCTCTTCATGCCGGTCACGGTGAGCCTGGCATTGCTGTCCTGGGCCACAGGATTTACGTCTTGGGAGGGAGATCTCATAACCGTGGGATCTGCATGGACTATGTCCACATCTACGATGCCGAGAGAGACTGCTGGGAAGAGGGTCCCCAGTTGGAAGATGACATTTCCGGGATGGCAGCCTGCATCCTTACTTTGCCAAGGGTGATTCTCACAGAGGGCGAAATGGGTGTGTCTGACGGACAGCGCAAGAGAGTCCAGGATTACTCAGGTGTGTCTGCTGAGGTCCTGAGAATATTAGATTGGGAGGAATTTGAGAGCATGAATGATAATTAGATATTATTTTGGGGTCGGCTTTTCTTATTTGGGCTGCCATCAGAGCTCCACCAACCTGGAGGAAGCCTGATGCCATTTAGTAGTAATTGAGCAGAGCGACAGCCATCGCAAGAAACATTTTAAGGTACAGTTCATTAAACAGATGAAGGTTCTTTGATGAGAAGCGAAACATCTTAAGGAAAAAACATCGTCCAGTTGCCTTTTGCAAAAGCACTTTTGAGACAACCACAACCTGGATGACTGAGGGTATCTCCATAAATGTATAGCTCATTGCTTGGCCAGTGGAAAACCTCCAGAAAAAATACAGTATATGTCTTGGCCAATCAGCCAGTCTTCAAATTATTTGCTGACTAAAAGCTGACAAAACCTCAGAAGTTTAACAGTAAAACAGATGCATCAAATTAACTAGGTATTAAAAGCTTACAGTGCTGCTTAATTGATCACAGAATCCGCGTTAAAGATTGGCATATTTTGGCTTTGTTGCACACAACCATGACTCCACGTGTTCATTATCCGTGAACCACTCACCATAGTCTCTGCATTTCATACAGATGGGAAGAAAAACAGCAGCCTGGTTTTTTCCCATATTTATTTTATTTTTTAAAAAATTGCATCAGGTTTCCAGTGTACCTAAGCAGCCTTTCCTCTGGACTAACCAGGGGACGAAGCTGCCGGGCTTAGGGCAGCTAAAGACAAAAGATCCTAAAAAGTCGATTCTGGCCCCTTGGAAGAGACATGGCAGGAGGATGCCGCTTTCGGTCCACCTTCTCGGACGTTTCCTTTGCCTCTCAGTGAAAGCCGCGTGTCTGTCAAGAATTATTCCTTGCTTTCAATCGTTTCTCCATCGGAATCTGCTCGGGGGGTTCCAGAAACTAACAGCTCAGCCCTCGGGCCGCCCCCCCCCCTTCCTTTCCCTTCCTTGGAAAACTTCCCACCTCGGTTGCTGCTGCTGCTGCTCTTAATAAACGCCGTTGCTGGTTGACGATTCCAAATGCAGTCCCGACGCTCTTTTGTGAGCCTGCCGTGCTTGCTTGGATTGTTCTCCTCCGGCGCCGGACAGTCAAGCCACCCGGGCAACAGGGAAACGGCCTCGGCCTCGCTGGCCCAAAGCCGCACTCACGTTTCCCGCCCGGGAGCCGCTACCGAGGCTTCCCTGCGGCCTCCCCCGCCCGGACAGCCGCTCGCGGGACCGGAAGAGCGCGGCGGGGAGGACGAGCGGGAAGAGGGCCCGCCCCCTCCGGACTCCGCGCGCAAGCCCCGCCCCCCCTCTCCGGGCGGAAGTCCCGCCAGCCCCCGAGGAAGAGGCTGGGTGCGCCTGCGCAGAGAACGTGTCGCGCGCCGCCGCCGCCGCCTCCTCCTCCTCCTCCCGCTCCGCTGCGGCGCCATTTTGGCGCAGGCTCCGGCGGGCGCGGCGGCAAGGCCGGAGCAGCGGCGCGAGAGCCCCGCCCGCCATGATGTCGTCGCCGCCCCCGCCGCCGCCCGCCGCCGCGTCCTCGTCGGGGCGCCGCTTCGACGCGTCGGACCGGGCGTCGTGGTACGCGGGCCCGCTGTCGCGGGCGGAGGCGCAGGGCCGGCTTCAGGGCCAGCGGCACGGGACCTTCCTGGTGCGCGACTCGTCCACCTGCCCCGGCGACTACGTGCTGTCGGTGTCGGAGAACGCGCGCGTCTCGCACTACATCATCAACTCGCTGCCCGGGCGGCGCTTCAAGATCGGCGACCAGGAGTTCGAGCACCTGCCGGCCCTGCTGGACTTCTACAAGGTCCACTACCTGGACACCACCACCCTGCTGGAGCCCGCGCCCAGGTCAGCCCGGCCCTCCGCCCGCGGGGTCGCCGAAGGGGAGGGGGGCAGGCCGCCCTTCATCGCTTCGCCTTTCAGCGGGTTGATTTAAAAAGGCTCCTCACGTGAGCAGCTTTTCAGGGAAATGGGCGTCGGGCAAACCCAGAGCCCCCATCGCCCCCCCCCCGCCCCCATTTAGGCCCGAAGGCCCCCGGAGCTCCCCGAGACGGGCCCGTCTTTAACTGAACGCCTTCGATGGAGAAGGACTCTGGGCAGCCCACAAAGAGAGTAAAAGGCCCTTCAGTTCAAAGAGACAAAGTGAAAAAAACACCAATAATGTAAAGACCAAATAAAGATCAAGAGGGCAGATCTGGCCAACCACATAAAATCCCCATGTCAACAAAACTCACCAGGAGCTCTGGCCGCCCTTCCCAGGGCCACTGGGTCAGACAGCAGAAGAAACTCCGGGGACGTTTTTGTACCCAAGAGTATAAAACTACTGAAGATTCCCTATGGGTGCAGAAGTAAAAAAGCCAATTCTGATGATTTCGCTCCAAGGCAGCATAGGAAAACTTCCTCCCATTGTCCACCAATCGTTTGAACTCCCTTTGTTTTGGGACTGGTCTGTCTACCTCGGACATCCCCAGCTGGCGACCTTGAGGTGTTGGGTCTCTCTCAGGGTTCTAGTTGGCAAGCTTGCATTCCAGATTTCCCTCCCAAATCTCCCTTACATTCCAGTGCTTTCCCTCCCCTCTCCCATTACAGTTGTCTGGCTGCAATTGCCTAGTTGCAGGCTGGGCTTCCAAGCGAGTCACCCATGACAGCCAGGGAGAAGAGCCCTCCAGAATGCTATCAGGGTGAGGTGGAATTTCATTCCAGGTGGTGGGCACTAAAACAGAAGGCATGCCCTAAGCCCCAAAAGGTGAGACTGTTGTTTAATGGCATCAACCTTGTTGGTTCACATTAGCCGAGTAGAAACCAGCATTGTTGTGTAGGGCTTTATTAGTGACAATCAGCACAGGTGGCCGGCGTAATGGTGTCATGTGTGCATACGAAGGTTTGTCTATTATTGCATCACTAGATGCTAGACTACACGAAGCTTTCAAGTGTCTTCAAGGGCAACCCCATGTAAGCACTTTAGAATAGTTGAGCAATCGGGTGACTAAACAACAAAAGATAATGTTATGAGGATGTCATTGTTTCATAAGAGATTGAGTAATTCCCATGTCGCCTTCAGGTATCCGCTGATGGGTTCTGGTACTGGCTCTGGTGCATCAGCTGCAGAGGAGAATGTGGAATATGTTCGGACTCTTTATGACTTTACTGGTAACGATGCGGAGGATCTACCATTTAAAAAGGGGGAGATACTCGTCATCGTAGAAAAACCCGAAGACCAGTGGTGGAGTGCCAGAAACAAAGACGGGCGCATTGGGATGATCCCTGTTCCTTATGTTGAGAAGCTTGTGAGATCATCTCCTCATGGGAAGCATGGGGGCAGGAATTCCAATAGCTATGGGATTCCCGAGCCCGCTCATGCCTATGCTCAGCCTCAGACCTCGAGCCCTCTTCCCAGTGCCACCCATACTCCTGGAGCTGTCATCAACCCCTTGCCTTCGACCCAGAATGGACCAGTCTATGCCAAAGCCATTCAAAAGAGGGTTCCTTGTGCTTATGACAAGACTGCCTTGGCATTAGAGGTAAGCCATTCAGCTGGAGCAGGTTCCATGCAGCTTAGATCAGTTCCCTCATCCGGTTGGAAGGTCCTATCTCAAACAGGTTGTTCTCTCTGCTCTCTGGTTTTCATAGACTAGTAAATAATTGGATGTTCTGATCCCACCTCCCACGGTCACTCTTAAATGTGGAGCCTCTGGTAAAACTCTGCCTCTTTGTGATCAGGCTTAGTGATTAGGCTTGGTGTGGGGGATGCAGCTGACATATTCAGGTTTTGCAATCCATGGAGGCCTTTCAGCTGTTAGTGAATCTGCTTCTCTACTGCAGAATATTAAAATTCCTTGAATGTTATGAAAGGATGACTGTTCACTTGCTAAATATTTAAGCAAAGTAGCCTTGTATAAGTACTCCTTGTTCATTCCTTCTGCTGAACCTGGTTGTAAAGTCCTAGGCCCATATTGACTGTCTTACTCAGGATGGAGCAAATTTCTCCAGATGTTAAATTCAATAAAAGCATTAAAGTCATTTATTCAGAACAAAAAAAATATTTCATTTTTTCACAATTTTGAAAGTGCCTTATAGTTATGTTTCTAGGGCTTGTAATAAACAAGCCTTTGACACTACTCTTCTTTCCCCATTCCACAGCTGCAGAATATACTTTCTTTGTATTGGTTAATTTTCTCAGACTGTTCTCAGTGTAAATATCCAGTTATCTTATTGTATTGTGTGTACTATTTTGTTCAGCCTTATTTTCTCATTATATTCTTAACAATTTGGTTTTGAGCAAATTTGGTCTGAAGTGAACTCCCACTGTGGCAGGGCTTACCTATAAAATATAGGCTTATAGCCTAAGCTTGCTTTCACAGTTGTATTTCTTAATCCTTTCTATTTCTTCTTGAAAAATACAGTAAAAGCCCCAGGCACTTACCCTCTTTCTGTAACTCTTTGGTCATGTTACCCAGTTGTTTTTATCATATGCTTTTTCTTATACCTGATTACTGTTGCCATGGCCTCTTTAATTTTTCATTGAACAAATGCCAATATTTTGAATTCTGCCAAAAGAGCTTTAAACATTTCCTCTTGATTGAGCAATTATAGAAAATGCTTTTCTTTGTGGTCCACTTCAAAAATGTCAAAGTACTTTTGCTTTTGTTTCCCTTTCTTCTTCCTTATCCAAGGTATTATTAAACTATGTTGTTTTCAGTTGATTGATATAGGTAGAATTTGGCCTTTGCTATCTGCACCTTAGCCAACGTTTTCTTCTCTTATGTTTCAAGAGATTTAAAGATTTCTTCAGAATGTCCTTACTTTTTATGAGGGAGTAAAGAATTGCAAGCAGTATGCAGCACCCCAGTATCCTGAGATTTTATTGCCAACATTCAGCAGGAAAAACCATCTATTTAATCAATATATATATAGCTGTCCAACTTGCAATGACTACTTTTCATATAAACAGGTAGTAATGATAGCAGTTTACCTCTCAAGTGGCTTCCTGTTCCCATTCCTTCTCTAATGCTTGGGAAAAGGGGCATCCCAAATGTCAACCAAGTCCCTTGCGGTAGAACTTAATCCTTTATCATATGGCGTATTGAAACCCTCCAAACAATTAACTGTGTCCCTGATTTAATTGCCTTAGAAGTGGGCAATTGAATTTTGAAGTGTTTTACGGAGAAAGGAGTTGGATAATGAAACATTATTTTCCAAATGATATTTTGGAACCTGCAAGAGATGGTGCCTAGTTATGGGTGCTTTGATATTCAAATTTAGTTTTAAAAAATTAAAAGGTCAAAACTGGTGTTTTTCCCTTTATAATTGACAAGGTAGGTGGTACTATTCATACTTGAATTGCTCTTTTAGCTATATCTTTTCAAGTGACATCCCTGTCTGCTTCTACATTGTCATATTGCCAACAGTTGGAATTCAGCATCTTCACAATGTACCAGCTACAGAGCAGAGGAGCATTTCCTAGCCTCTCTGGGTGGCTCCTGAGTGCTGCCCAGCATCCAGGCTGCCCTCTGCTCATTTAGTGCTGCTCATGATATCAGTTGCTAGGAAGCCGCAGGAAAAGGGCTCTTTCATCCCGCAGGTCAGGCTGAGCAGCTTCCCAAAGATGCACAATTGATAGTTGTGTGAGGTGGAGTGGTGGAGTAGATCAGGGCCTGATCCCACCAGGCTCTTCCTGTGTTTTGGTAGCATCTGGAAGCCTGAAAGATTGATAGGACTGATGAGCTGGCATTTAATAGACGATGGACTGTGTATTAAAGGAAATTGAATGCAGTAAATGGAGAAAGAGAAAGGGAGATCGAAAGGGTGGGAGCACATGGGATAAGTGGCAGCCAAATCAGGACTCTGGGTGTACACTGTTACCCCATGAAGCAATTCCTGACAACAGAGGACCCTTCAGCTCTGCCTCATGAATTTTCCTTGGCTTATTTTGGGTTCGCCTGGGGATGTTTCCGAAGAGATATTTAGTCACTGGCTTGCAGATGGAGATTTTGGATGTTTGTTTGGTTTGTCATGAGAAGCTAAACATGGCCTGACTTGGTACTAATTTAATGAGATAGGAACCCCCTCCCCCACAAAGAAACCCTAAGGCCGTAAACTGCTGAGCAGGAGATTGACGAAAAATCTCAGATGACAGCAGTGGCAAACCACTTCCTGCTTCCTGCCCAGATGTGTCTGTGACATTTTGCTCAGCTTCAAGGATATTTTGCATTCCTTTGCTTAGGTCAGTGGGTCTCAACCTTCCTAATGCCGCGACCCTTTAATACAGTTCCTCATGTTGTGGTGACCCCCAACCATAAAATTATTCCTGAGACCATTGAAAATATGTGTTTTCCGATGGTCTTAGGCAACCCCTGTGAAAGGGTCGTTCGACTCCCAAAGGGGTCCCGACCCACAGGTTGAGAACCACTGGCTTAGGTGATGCTGGATTTGTGGGGGAGGGATTGTCCATGGAGGCCAGGCCTGGTTTGTTGGCATCTAACTGTTGCTGAGTCTTCTAATAACTTTGAGGCTGCTAATTGGAGCATCTTCAGGCTTATCAAAGGTTACAAGTAGACAAGTCAGTTCCCTTATTTCTTCTGTGAGATTCAGTGAGCTGCTAGGGGTGGTAACGTATCAGTTCAGCCTCAAAGGGTTGCCTATATGGATGGATTTCTAATATTTATAAGGCTTGGCAGACTCTTGGGATAAAATAGAAGGAAGTCTATGAATTTTGCCTTAAATTCCGGAATAAATCGTTCTCCTTATTGATAGCAACGCCTTAATGAGGGCTAGGATTTTTTTCCCCCAAAACCTGATGTGCAGACAAAGGACCAAAGAGCCTTTGTCCATTCAGCCTGGTTTCTCAAGACTGCCTTGGCCCTGCCTCCCGAGCCCCTCGCAGCACAGCCTGGAATGCCAGGCAGAATTTCAAGCACAGCTCACTTGCCCCTTTGGCACGCGAGGGAGGTGGCTGGCCCCTGGGTCTTCACAGCACATTCCTCCTCCCCAAGAGACAGCTGGCTTGGCAGAGAGAGACAGGCTGACACTGTACACCACCTCCACCCCGCTTAGCCCAGCCTTGTTTTTTTTTTTTAAAAAAAAAAAAACAGGCCATCAGTTAAAGTGGCCCTACCTGGCCTGGAAGTGCCCCCGAGGTCCATTCTGCCCCTTCCTCCTGCCCTGCCTGGGAATGCTCTCCCAAAGTCGTGTTTGCCTTTGTGCTCCAGCCAATACAGATGTCCTTGAGAGGCCTCACTGCCAGCCTTGTGCGTCATTGAAGGGTTGGGACAGTTTCTTTCCCAAAGAAAAAGAGATGGCAGTGATGTCCCCTTGGCTTAGGGACAGTTCCTCCTGCGTTGGAAAGAGCAGCTGCGGGGAGGCTGAACCCCATGGTGCTCTCCTGCAGCCAAAACTTCCACAGACCTTTGTCAAAATCTTGCATCAGGAGGAAGCAAAAAGTGTTTGTCACTGCTTATTACTGTCATATTTGTGAACGGTTGCTATCCAAGGCAATTGCTAAATGAGACGTGGCTGTTACATGTAATAACCGCAACTCATGGTTATAGACACACATGCACACTGATCATATTGGAGTTGAATGCCATTTAGGTGTTACCTGCAGCTGCAAAAGGATTTAAGTTGAATCCACATTAATCAAGCTGAATCCTAAAAATCAAGATGCACCATCAGGGGGATGGTGGGGATCTGCCCCTTTTCAATTCTAGACATCCCAGAAACAGGTTAGTAAATATATTATTTATACAGCTTGCTTTCACAAGATCCTTTGGGGAAAAAGAACCTTTGACCCATGTATCTATCCAGCCTTTGTAAGTCTGCTGTCTGGTCTTTTGTCTTTGCTCTGTCTGCTGGCATAAATGGAATTGCATGTCCAAATGGACTGCTTGATTGTATAATTTTAAAGAAAAATTCTCCCATTTTCTGTGACTAAAGAAAATCTCCTCTCAACATTCTTAACATTAAAAAACAAAATGTTTCCATTTCCTGCCATATTATAACACTTTTGCTATACTTTATTTTAGTCTCATGATACATTAGAATTTTATCTAATTACAACAAACATTGTTTTTAAGAATTTAATTCAATTCTGATAAAATAGATTCATCCTCTCCTGCATATGTGCGGATTTTACTCAACATATAAACATTATCAGATTATCAGTCTCAGATTACCTCTTTTGCCCAACTTGCATTTCTTTTGACTATGCAAAACATGATCTGTGGATCCCCCCCCCTTTAATGTGGTGGTAGTTTTCTTACATAAACTTAATGGAAGGGTAAGTGAATCTTGGTGAAAGAAGAAGAAAAAAAAGATTCTATAAATTCTTTATATAAATGCAAATCTTTTAGTGCAGTGGTTCTCAACCTTCCTAATGCCGCGACCCTTTAATACAGTTCCTCATGTTGTGGTGACCCCCAACCAGGGGTGGGTTCTAAAAATTTTTACTACCGGTTCTGTGGGCGTGGCTTATTTTGTGGGCGTGGCTTGGAGGTCATGTGACTGGGTGGCCATGGCTAGCTGGTCATGTGACTGGGTGGCCATGGCTATGTGTATAGGGACTACTCAGAGGGCTGAAAAAAGTCATTTCTGACAGGTCCTCGCACTTTTGACTGGTCCTCACACTTACGACTGGTCATCATTTATGCCCATTGTAGCATTCTTAACGACCGTGTCATTCATTTCACAACTGCTTCTCTTCACCATGGTGACAAGATAGGGCAAAAACGTAAAATGTGAGGACAGTCGTAAGTTCGAGGACTGGTCAAAAGTGCGAGGACCAGTCAGAAATAACTTTTTCAGCCCTCTGAGTAGTCCATATGCATAAAAGAATACAGCAATAGAGAGGGATGAAGGAAGGGAAATTAGAGTAGGAGGGAGGGTAAGAGAGGGAGGAAGAGAGGAGGAGAAGGAGAAAGGAAGAGGAAGTAGGGAGGAGAAGAAGAGGGGGAGAAAGAGAAAGTAAGGAAAGAAAAGAGAGGTGGTAGGTTTGAGGAGAAAAATTGCTGTACAATAAAAAAGATGAAAGGGAGGAAAGCCAACCTCAAACAAATATAAAGATATTAAGATAATGAATTGTTAAACTTTAAAGAATAAAAGAGAACAAATATGAATAAATAACAATATTAGAAACACACATACAAACATACAATGTATTTTCTTTGAACAGAGTATTTGGCCGGTTCACAAATTTAAACAGTGTTTAGTCATTTCAATTAAATTTACAATTTCTATATTTCCTTTTTGCCATATTTATTCCTCATCTATTTTTGTAAAAAACCAATATTACCCTTCATCCTCATCTCTAATCTTAATCAAATTCAATTTTTCCCTTCTATTCTATATTATACCCCTTCCCATTGTCATCTATTTTGATATCCATCCTCACATTGGTTAATTATGTAATATTACAGTTGTTTAATATAAATTCAACATTTTAATATAAATCAATTAGTTATATAACTACCTTTTTTGTATATTAATCTATATGAACATGAATATTCCAATTATTTCCATGCAATCCAATTTCTTACAAATCAGTTAATTATATTTACCAATAATAATAAACCAAATAATTTCCCCCATATATTCCTCCAAGCCACAACTTAACCATTTCTGCTTTCAACACAATATACAATTAATAGTATCTCAATTATTATATTTCCCTAGTTAAATAGAGCTTTTTTTCTTTTGTGTTTTAAAATCTTGAACTCTCCACTTTTTCCCTAAATTCCCCATTGTTTGCACCTACCTTTTTTGGTGAGGAAAAAGAAAAGAAATCTGCCTGCCTAATTTTCCAACCTTGCAGCAACAGCAAAGCCAACAGCTTGCTTTACTTTCAGTTTCGTTTTTCAGCATAGCTAGGGAGAAAAAAATTGTTCCAGCGCTCTTTGCAAACAAGCAGCAGAGCCCTGAGCAAAACAGCTGAGAGCAAATCAGCTGAGAGTCGGGAGCCGATTAATCAAGGGCTAATTAGCCTATGCTGAAGCTCCGCGGGCCAATAAAATTACAAAAAATACCAAACCATTTGTTAAATTGCTGGCTCGCCCGCCCCTCGCCCACCACTATTTATTGGCAATAAATAGTGGTGTGGAGGGGCGGGGCAAACCAGCAGAATCCCACCACTGGCTATAGGGCGGCCCTTTGAAGCCCTGCGGCAAGAATTTAAAGTTTTTTTCCCTCTAGCCATCAGCTGGGACTCCGGAGGCAGCAATAGATTGGGAGTGGGCGGGGTAAGCGACCGGCGACCGGGCGATCCAACAGAGGCAGAGGGTGAGGGTGAGTGAAGGCGTGGGGGGGGAGCGAGAGAGGGCTTTGGCGACCCCCGTGAAATGGCCGTTGACCCCCAAAGGGGTCGCGACCCCCAGGTTGAGAACCGCTGTTTTAGTGGAAAGACATTTTAATATAGTGGTGAAGGCACTAGTCCCACTTTCTATACAAAGCCAACTGAGAGACCTTGGGCCAGTCAGTCTCTCTCAGCCCTAGGAAAGAGTCAATGGCAAACCACTTCCAAAATCTGGCTAAGAAAACCGCAGGGCCATGCCCAGGCAGTCACCAGGATGACTCAAAAGCAACTCTTTCTGAAGGACTTTGCTTTCCCAAAAGTGGACCCATTTTCAGGTTGTCATTTTTTGCATATATATCATTTGAATTGATTCATGGAAGGAGACTTTGTTTTGTTGGCTTGAAGGCAGGAGAGCTGCTAGCAAGGAATGAACCAATCCGTCGTCATCATCATCATCATCCACCACGAGAGTTTCTCCCTCCGGTTAGCTTTTCTTTGATCTCAGCTTGAGTGGACCAGGGAGATTGCGTCTGTGGAGTGAAAGGTGGAATGGAGACCTAACGGATCCTCCTTGTCAGTCCTCCAGATCTTCCAGCAGGCAGAGCTGGGGTGGCCCTGCTAACTGCTGCGTGACTGTTGCTGCTAACTGGCTACTATATATACTTATTTTTTCCTCTCAAGCACAGACACCTTTTATTGGTGGTAGTCTTTTTAATCCACTGGATACCACCCAAAGTAATTAGCCAGTGGAGGGCCCAGGAAAGGGTTGAAAATCAATTATAAATAAAAGAAATTATTTGATTCCCATTGATGTTTTAGTGAGGAAGGAGATCCTTGTTTACCTGCGCTTAATGCCATGGGATGCATTTGGAAAGCCTGAGTTTCACGGACAATGTTAATTCTTTTGCTCAGGAAGGAGGTACTCAGTGGGACAGTTCAGGTTTTTTTTTACATGGGAAATTCTTTGGGGGAATGGCATTAAACTAGCTGCCTCACAATAAAATAAAACCGCTAGGCGAGATCATCCGTGGTTTTGGGGTATGCTGATATGCTGATGACACACAGCTATACATCTCCACCCCAGACCACCCCAATGATGCCCTTGCTGTGATGTCCCGTTGCCTGGAGGCCGTGCGGATCTGGATGGGGAAACAAGCTCAGACTCAACCCCTCCAAGACCGAGTGGCTGTGGCTTCCGGCGTCCCGGTATAGTCAGCTGGTACCATCACTGACAATAGGGGATGAGATCTTGCTCCCCACAGAGAGGGCCTGCAACTTGGGTGTCCTCCTGGATTCACGGTTATCTTTAGAAGATCATTTGACGGCCGTGGCCAGGGGTGCCTTTTATCAGGTTCGCCTGATCTGCCAGTTGCATCCCTTTCTGGATCGGGACGCCTTGCGGACGGTCACTCATGCCCTAGTTACCTCCCGTATGGACTACTGTAATGCTCTCTACATGGGGCTCCCCTTGAAAAGCACCCGGAGGCTCCAACTGGTCCAGAACGTAGCCGCGCGGGTGATTATGGGCGCAGCTCGTTACGCCCATGTAACACCTCTCCTACGTGAGCTCCTACGTGAGCTGCTAAACTAGTGGAGAATTGTTTTAAATAACATGAAATGAATTTCCTACAATCTAGTACAGCAAAAATACTCCTTTGTCTATATCTGATATCTCAGAATATGTCATGAAGATTGATTGCAGTCCACTTTCTGTGAAGGCGCATTAACTCCTTATCCCCAAAGGGCCAAAATCACTGGGTTGTTTATACGACTCAGTACTGTATGTGCAAGACACAGAATCTTCTTGGTTGTGTTGTTAGTGTTTGGACATAATTAAGACATCAAGGTTTTATGGATTAAAAGAATTACTGATAGTCCTTGGCTTATTGGGACCAGAATTTCTGTTGCTAAGAAGGATGTTTCACCCCATTTTATGACTTTTTTTGCCATGATTGTTAAGAAAATCACTGTGGTCGTTAAGAAAATCTGGCTTCTCCCATTGACTTCGTTTATTGGAAATCAACTGGGAACGTCATGAACACCAATCACACGACCCTCTGGGGTGATGCTACAATCATTATAAGCACCTGCTGGTTGCTAAGTGCAGGCATTTTGGTCATGTGACTGTAGGGATGCTGCAACAAGCAGTCGCAGTGCAAGGACCAGCTGTAAGCCATCTTTTGAAACTTTAAATGCTTGTGAAGCAAATGGTAGTAAGTCAAAGGCTGCCGATACGCAGAACTGGAAGGAGGAATCCTGAGGTTAAAGCAATTATTGATACAGCACGTTGGTCAACTTCCTGCTAATTCTTTTTTAATAATAAAGGCACATGGAAAAACAGTCCGATCTTTTTAAGTTCCCCAAATAACAATTTTCCAGGCCTTTTCATTTTTTTTATTCTGCTTATTAAAACATTTAATGATTTATATTAAAAGATTTCATTGTTTACACTAAATCCAAATCAAAAATCCAAATGTTACTTGTACATGAATGAAGGCCTACAGAGACTGACCTGGGAAGGCATTGCAGGCGTAGAGCCAGGTTAGTCTATGGCAGCCAGAAGTCAAGAGGAGAAAAGAAAGGAGCACCACAAAAGGTGCTACCAGGCACCTGATTTGGCTAGAGAAGAGTGGAAACTTGGTAAAAATGGCAACTTTATAAACAACATGGGAAGAGAAAATATTTTCTTCCCTCATATGTGATGTTAAAATTTGAGATCATCCATTGAAATCCAGAGAGAGAGATTTAGGGTCCCCAGAAGCAGTTTGCACATAGTCAGACCATGGAATTGGCTGCCAGCCAGTTTGGGTGATTTCAGAAGAAAAGGTTTGTGGAGAAACCCATTCTACTTGCTGCTTTAGGCCACTGACCTGCCTCAAGTAGGGGTGCCTGGGACCCCAGAACAAGAGGCAGCTCAGATGATGAGATTCCCAAAGGCCGATGACCACTGAAGACTAGCTGAGGTCCTGATCTGAGGTGCATTGTCTTTTGTGGGGGGGGGTGGGTGTATGCAGATCACTTGAAGGAATGTGAGAATGTTCTTGAAATGCAATTATTGTAGGAAGAAATAACTTGAACCGTTCCAATTTCATTTTGTGTATATATGCAGTTGTATTTTTTTTTTCTTTTTTGCAGGTTGGTGACATTGTGAAGATCACAAGGATGAATATCAATGGTCAGTGGGAAGGAGAAGTCCATGGAAGAAAAGGGCTCTTCCCCTTCACACACGTCAAAATAATTGATCCTCAGAATCCCGATGAAAATGAATGATCTGCTGGCCCATGTCTGCAATGCTGCTTCCTTTTTCTGGCTATCTTGAGCATCATTTGAAGTGCGATGGTTGTTGATGGCGCAGCTAAGGATTGCCAGTCATTCATGTTTCCATCTTGCAGTGATTTCACAGCTCGACCGTGTCTCTTTTGGGAACGCACCTGGTAGTCCGGCATTTGCAGTTTCTCCTAGAAGGTTTTTGGACTGTGAGCTGATTGTGGTGCTATCTAGGCAGAGGGGGAGGGATTGAGACATCCAGTTTCTTTGCCGAAATGGATATTTTACTCAGAAAGAGAATTCTAAACAATTTTGTCTAACTCCAAACAATAATAAAAATGCATTTTTATGGAAGATGAGAGCACATAATCATGTTAAACAATTATGTCTTTAGGGAATTATTGATGCTTCTGTGCTACAAAGAAGGGTTTTTTGAGTTTGCCATTGATTTAGAATAAATTGTAGCAAACTCTTGAAAACTACATTTCTTCATTGTCATCTTTATAACCATGTATAATTGATTCATTTGCCATATGTTGCCTAAACCTCTTGTTTGATTCAGATTTATTCAGATCTGAAATGATACTTCAGGCACTAAATACAACTTTTTAGAAAAAACTTATGCGAGCTTTGATGAAACTACATTTATCCCTTTAAAATCTTGTTTTTTAAAAAAAAAGCAAAAACAACAGCATTGATAATCAGTTACAGAGAATGCAACAATAACTCAAAAGATACTCTTGGTCCTTTGTTTTCTGCATGGAGGCGCAGGAGTACAAAGTCATGGTAAAATCATTTCTCTGCGCTAAGTTTAAACACAATGAAATATGATAATGAAGAAACTTGAATGTTGGTTATAGCATGTGAAGACCTTGACTCCCTCAGTGATGTTTTTGAAAGTTTACTGGTGCTGGTCTCTTGAGCGGTTGGACCTCAGGAGTGACACATCTAACTTAGTATTCATGTGCCTTAATCAGAGGATGACAGGTGCTGAAGGGGACAGACAGTTGGAACAGTTCAGTCTAGAGAGAAACCTTTCGGATCACCAGCAGTGCTGGGCAGGTAGCTGATCTGGGGAAAGGACTGTGAATTAGACTTGCCTGGATGCTTCCTAATGGACCATAATGTGGCTGTTCTATTAAGTGCCTGGGCACGTTTGAATGACTGTCGTACTACTGAGCTTTGTGTTTGGAATATTTAAGCTGCACTAAATGTCCGTCTGCCATACAATAATTCTGCCGCACAGCTGGCCTAATTCTATGAACAATCCTTCAGGGCAGTACCCAAACTGTGTATAAACATTTTGCCTTGATGAGCTGCAGGGTAAGCAAGGACACTTGGAATTGAGCTAGTTGTGATTCTGCTGGGCTACCTGTAGAACAGCCAACACTTTCCCTTTTCTTTGGTTAGCTCCACCCTCAGTTGCTTTCTTGGTAAACAGGTTGAGGTTTCATAGACAACTGTGCAATTGAGTCTTGAGCAAGAGAAGCCGGCAGTCAGTGGCCTTCACACCCATCAAGAGTAGACTTTGAACAGCTTTGATCAGAGCTGGTAAAGGCAGTTCAGGTGCAACATACTAAATTGATGGTACATTTCAATGGCATCCAGATGTTGGCTACTTTTTTTTTTCCTATGTTTTGTTCTTTCCTACCTAGAGAAGCTGGATGTGCTCCTGATTGTGAATGTCACAAAGGGTGAACTGTCCTTGCTGTTTTCTTAGGAATATTTATAAGCATTCAGAGAGCCACCTCTGGAAGCCAGCTACGCTCTGCATAATTTTGAGGATTTTTTCAGTCTGTGCTTCCTTGAAGTGGAATCCTTGTCAGGTGACTCAGAAATTTAATTCGCTTATTGAGCAGGAGTGTGCAAACTGTGCCCATTGGCTGCGGAAGGTCTTCCGTTTCTTCATTGCAACAATTGATGCCTCAGGTTAGCAAGGAAGTCCTAAGAACGGTCCCTCACCAAGAAAGTCCGGACTCAGATCAAGGAAGGTCTTGCAGATTGTCTTATTAAGGAGTGAAAAGCATTTGTTCTGATATTTCATATGTGTTGTAATTTTACTTTGCTGGGGGTGGAATTGGAGATGAAATATTGTAGAATGAGAATATTTGAACACTGGTTTGGCTGCCCTGCCAGTAATAAACTTTTCTGGTGTCTCCAGCTGAATGTGACAGTTGGTTGCCATTCTAAAGGGTAGCCTGAAGTTCACACATCTTTTAAGTCAGTGAAGCATCATTTGAATTCTGGGCAGTTGAGGGGAGGGGGGGCTCTCTGGTCTCTCCAGGAAGAGCTGGAGGATGCCTAGCTGAAATAGGCAGTATGTGGGAAAGGCCTTAGGGTGAGTGTGTGTGAGATGCCGCCTAGGGACAGGATAACCCACAGCTGCACAGTGGGTAGAGCAAGAGGTTCAGAAGGGCTCCCTAATTTATCAGTCTGCAAAGGAGACAATAGAATATTTGTACTTTCAGACTAGCAAGATTCTATTAATGTAGCTTTACAATAAAGTTATTAGGCCTAAACCCAAAGATGACACAGTGAAATCCTATTAATTCCAATCCTTTATTAGTCTACTTCTAATGGCAGAATCTTGCCAAACTAAAGCTATGACTTCCTACCTTAATAGAGTGGATGGACTAGAAGACCTCCAAGGTTTATCCTAAGAGATTCTAACCCTGAACCACTTCCCTACTCCCTGGCAAAGCTCTGCTTCTCCAGATAGAATAAGCTTATTTGGTCATGTTTCCTGTCTGGTCTACTGACATCTAGCTTACAATCTTCTCTTTACAGCCCAAGAAATTAGGGAGATTCCCTCCTGAGCCCTCAGCCCTCTATTCCCTGGGCTGCCTCTCCTCCCCATGCCCCAAGGTCTTTCTCACACACCACTGCAGGCTGCCAGTCCACTTCTTTGGGCCGAATGAGGTGGACTGAGGCTCTTGCTCACCAGGCTCCTGAGATTTGTGGACTTTGCGTCCTGTTTGAGAGTTTGTCAAAGATTTTTATTTTATGCAACAAATTAACAGTATTAAGTATATTTTTAGAACACGTGAAATGTGTTAAAATTAGTGCCTTTTTGTTTTCTTAATATAATTCACTACTGGTCCCACATCGAGCAAAGGAGTTCAGTGCCCTGTTTGTATTACTTTCAATAAAACATGCATCCTGTTTGCAGAATTCTTGTCCCGTTTCTTTCCTTGGCTAGCTTGTCATCCAGCTCTGAGCAAAAGATAAAAAGCGAGGGGGGTTTTAGTGCCTTGAACAGCAGACCTCTCCCTACTGGCTGCTTCTCCCTTATGGGCAGGGGGCTCTAAGGCAGAGGTCCCTTGGTGCAATCCAGGCAATGTAATTTATATATGGATTGAATCAGTTTTTGTCCTGAACTCATCCCAAAGTACCACAGAAATGCAGGCGGAGCATTTTAAACAGTATTTTATGAGCTCCCATCACCAGAGAATAATTGAACAGAACAAATAGAGGAACTCTTTTGTTACACACAAAGGTGTGCCAGACCAGAACAGTGGAACAGTCACCTCATAGATTGACAAATAGTTACCCCCTTCCAGAATGTGGCAAGTGTGTAGTGCATTCTGGGAGGCCTTGAAATGTTGCTTCCTGCAGGCAGTAAGTTGTGGGAATGAAGGAAAGCAACACTTCGTGCAGACCTCAGATCTTGTGTTCCAAAAAGGTGGCCAAGAAAAAGACTCGAGTCTTTTCAGATGCCAAGAGCAGAGAAGAGAATGAACCCAATGGCACCCAATTCCCAACAGAACAGTTGCCCTTTGCTTCCAGCCCTGAAGTGAGTGGCAAGTGACCCCCAAAACATGGAGTCTTGTGTAAAGGACGGGGGGTTTTGCTCCAGTGTTCAACTCTCCAATGATTACCCAATAATCCTCCGGTGAGACCTGTTAGGCTTTGTGGGCCTTGTCACCTTTGCAGAAGACATCTTTGGGGCCTCCTGCCCATATTCAGCACCCCTTGGGAAAGGTGCCTTCTCACCAACATGCATAAGGGAACAGAGGGCATTGGCTCCAGTCTGCCCTGCCTCCAGCGATAGATCCTGAGCTTTCTGCAGAGAAGGCGGCATAGCTTCTAACCCTGTATTTGCGGGTGGGGGAATCACCCACTGGCTGAAGCTTTGATCTGGAGCATAAGGCTCACAGGTTAGCCCCTGGGATTTGGGTTTGCCAGCTGGCTCTTCGGCATGTCCAGTCATCCCGGTGTTGTCCTGCCAGAGTGGAAGGAGCAGAGTGGCAGCCAAACTTTCATGAGGTTTGGGGTCTTGCTCTGGAGCCATGGGGAAGTCCAGCTGATGGGGCCTGGCCCAGAATTCATTGAAAGTGCTCAAGTCCTTGAAAGGGGCTGGCAGGGATACCTCATCAGCTGCAGGAAACCTGAGGGATGGGGAGACAGAGTTGCATTTGTTTGAAGAAGCAGCCAATTGGTTGTCATAGCAGGGGAGGGGAGAAATGACTGATAGCTGTTGCTATCAATTTACCAAAATTAAAATCATCCCTTCAGTTGCTCCACTGAAGTTTCTTGGCTTCCTTCAGTTCCACAACAGATATTTGTCCTTTTAACTTCATGCTTCATTAGCTGTCTATCCACATAAAGATGGCTTGGCAAGAAACCTTAATTACTGAAAACCTGGAGACATAATAGTTTAACAACAAACCTGAAGTTCTTACATTCTGGGTCAAAACTTTGGACAGGAGGGGAAAGTGGATTAATGACGTAGATTCTTTGCTCTCGGGGCAACTGATAAGAAAACCTCTCTTCCTGGAACAATTCTTGTTTTTCCAAATACATTTTGTAAAAATACATTTGACAGAAAAAATTGAAATATTCTGAACACAAAATGTCATACTTAGAATAGTCATTATTGAGTGTTCAAAGTCTAGATAAAATCCACATTTGGAACATACCAGGCTATTTGGCCCAAAGCAAAGCAAAGCAAAAGCAGTGTCAGGGATGCTGCCATTCCGATGGAGGAGGGGGAGGAGACTATTGGGGTTGCATTCTCTGCATGCTTTCGCTTTTGCTGTAACCGTGTGGGATTCAGAGAGACAAAAAGGACTTTCTCCCAGGCGGTTCTAGCCTGCCACTAAGGTCGCTGCGTCCTGGGGATGAACTGCTATCAAGTTAGTGCCTCAGGGTTCTCAAAACACCTTTGTGACACTGTATTGATGACCCGTGGACTAGTGAAGGGGGTTGGGATTTTGAATGGGGAAGAATAGCTTAACGCTTTGTGCGGGAACTTCAGATTCTGCCTGATTTCTCTGCAATCACTTTCAGTAAAAGTTCCTTTTGATAACTACTTGTTTCAAGATCATGCTTTCCTGAGGGGCTAGCTGAGGTCCTTACAAGCAGTATGTGCCATTCCATGTTGTTTAGGTCCAATGTTCCACAACTATCAGCCTTACAAGATAGATCCAATTAGAAACATAATCAGATGAACTAATGCTACTTTATTGTAAAGCTACATTAG